CGAGCTCGAGTGGCTCGTGGGCGTGAACAGTACGAGTCGAGCGGTCGAACCGACGAGCCGCTCGACTCGGTTGACACCACTACTCTCACAACAAAGTTTTACACATAGAGCTAGCGGATTTCTTTATCTCGCTTGTTGTTAGTCTCGTCTAGCACCTTTCGGTTGGGGTCTGCTCTGAGGTAGATTGCTTGCGTTATTTTCTAGTATCGAAGTCTTGTAAACGAGATTGTCTAATGACTTACCAGTTGGATTTCACTATAATCATACTAGTTGAGTGATGATAATGGAAAGTGACTGATCTGAAAACAAATTAAACTTTAAGGACCAAACTTAGCACTGAATTTGATTAACTTTAGCCCTTTAATTTGGATAAAAATTAAAAATTTAATAATTTTTTATATAAATTGATAAAATATATTGTTAAAAAGTTGAAAAAAATTACGAGTTCCATAAATTTTTAATTAAAAATAATTTTGAAATATATAGGTTTAACTATCTGCCTAACTTCCATATTTCAAATATGTGGGGGCAATGATGTTCCACAACCACATTTGGTTCCTTTTTCATTAAATTAAATATGGATATGATCACAAAAGAGTAGCACGAATTGTCATTCGAAAGTTGAAATTCAATCCGATAATTAATGAGCCGTATAGAACTGAAGTGAACAATATAAATAATTTATCATCTTTGATTAAAGTAAGCTACCTAGTCCACATCAGTTACCAACTATAATGGAAAATATCATAAATAGATATGACCTTCACTGAATATGCAGGACCCATTGAGGTTTATCGATGCATGAATTGAAATTATGGGCTTGTTTGAATCAATTCTTTTGCAAAAAAAAAATGCATTTTATAATAGTGTTACGATGAAGAATGTGTGATTAAAAATAAGTAAAAGTTTTGGATCTGCGTGTCATATTATCTTATTAAAGAACGTGTGCCTATAATGGGTCACATCACTGTTCAAAAATACATTTTGATGAAAAAAATGTTGCTCAAACAAGGGCTAAATTTTCACTAAACAAAAACTTTTGATTAGATTACACGTGTAGAATAAGAGAATTGCTTTGGGTTAAAAATGTGATTAATAGGAAAAGGTAACTAAAGATAATAGTAAATGAAAATGCAAATAAACAAAAGAAAACGGGCAAATGTTAAAAATTAATCTTACTTTTTATAAGCGAATTTTAATAGATAGAAGCGTGTCTTTGGTTTATTTGTCGACAACTAATGATAATAACTTGTCATGTTAGCACTAACGCTTTCACGTCTGCATGTTCGTCGATTTTTTTGAATATAAGTATTGAGTAATTGATGTTATAATATTTTGATAAGTTAAGTGACTATTTCAAAAACTTTTAAAGTTAACAATCAATGGGATAACAATTTGATAATTACAATAATAATTTGATACGTTACGATTCAATTTTCAAATGGAATGAAGATGCCTCTGTATCCATCTTGGTTACAACATAATGTCTTGGAAAGGATAATTGGCGCAAAACGTCCCTATCTTTGAAGGTTTTTGTGTAAAATGTCCATACCTTTCGGTTTTTTGTGCAGAACGTCGTCCCTACCTTTCACATTCTTTGCACCGAACGTCTTTTTTTATCAATTTTTAACATAAAATGACCATTATACCCTCGTATATAAATAAAACAAAAAAATAAAAGAAAAATAAAGAATAAATTGCAATTTACTCAACTTTTTTAAAAATGCAAATCGGTCCAAAAAGTTGCTATTTTTTTGCCTTTTTTTCAGCCCAAA